CAAGAGTAACCAACAAGTTGTGAGGTACATTGTACTCATTGCAGCCCGTCAATCCAGTGTATTTGGCCGAGCTCCTCATATTATTGTTGAATGCTCCTCTCTTTTTACCCGAATGCGTAGCGAAGGGTTCCCGTTTATAGTTGGGGGTCTGGGGGTTGGAGCTGTGTTTGCATGGCTTGCGTCGTGTCGTCGTTTGTCGTCGTCTCTCGTCGTCTGTCGTCGTCTCTCGTCGTCGTGTCGTCGTCGTCGCGTCTCAAATTCGCTGCCATTGGGGGAAGCTTTTGCAAGTGACTTTGCATGGATGTGTCACGTGTCAGTTTGCGCCGCTATTCCATTGTGATTTGCATGACAATGACATGTCGCGCAAGAAACGTGATGCGTTTCGCTGCACAGGCGCAGCGTTTTGTGAGATCCGCAGATTGCTGCGCAGTTCCATTGGGATCAGCGTTTGGAGAGTCATGTTTTTGGGGTGTTGGATGTGGCCGTGCCATTGGGATTTGCGTTTCAGGGTGTGGCAGCGAAGCTCGGTTTTCGTGACAAGTCCAGCTGAAATGGCGATTTTGGTGGATGGGAGTGTGCTCAGAACGGGTCGAAGTCATTCCAAACTTGTGGTGTGGTGCAAATTTTGTTGAAGCTCACATGAGATGATATTGTCACTTTTCGTGGCAGGCGCAGGACTTTGTGCGGGTTTGAGGCGTGGATGTGCGATTCTCGTGGCAGGCGCAGGGAATCGTGAGGTTGCGAGGTGTGACGGAGGTGACATTTCGTGGCAGGCGCAGTACTTTGTGCGCGTTAGACGTGTGGGCGCGGAAAGATTCGTGGCAGGCGCAGGGAATCGTGAGGTTGTGAGTTGTGGTAGAGGTGAATGTCGCTGTCACATTGGGATAGGCGTGTGAGCGGATGTTGTTTGGAGGGGCTGGAATCGCGAAACTGCTTGGCAGGGCTGCATGATGTGTGTGTGCTCCGATGGGTGTTTCCGCTTGACTTTTGGAGGAAGTCTCGTACGAAACGCTTGTTTTGCAGACTTTGACGTGTGAGTTTTTGAGGAACTCTCGCACGAAACGCTCGTTTTGGAGACTTGACGCGCAACCCTCTGCGGAGATCGTGCGTGTCGAGTGTGCGAAATGCAAGCGAGAGTGCGATTTGCCGCATGCGCGCGCAACCCTCTGCGGCGATCGTGCGTGTCGAGTGCGCGAAATGCAGACGAGAGTGCGATTTGTCCGGTGCCCGCGCAACCCTCTGCGGAGATCGTGCGTGTCGAGCACGCGAAATGCAGGCGAGCACTGGCGACTTTGTAGTACAACTTTAGTACGCGGGGTATCTGGGGAGCTGGAAGATGAGAACTGGTGACTTGGTAGTACAACTTTAGTACGCGGAGCAATCTGTGGAGCTGGAAGCTGAGAACTGGCGACTTTGTAGTGCAACTTTAGTACGCGAAGCAATCTGTGGAGCTGGAAGCTGAGAACTGGCGACTTTGTAGTACAACTTGAGTACGCGGAGCAATTTGTGGAGCTGGAAGCTGAGAACTGGCGACCTTGTAGTACAACTGTAGTACGCGGAGTATCTGGGGAGCTGGAAGCTAAGAACTGGCGACCTTGTAGTACAACTTTAGTACGCGGAGTATCTGGGGAGCTGGAACAGAGCCCCACAAGAGTGTCCCGCAACAGTGTCCCACTAGAGTGTCTCACAAGAATGTCCCTTAAGAGTGTCCCACAGGACTATCCCGCAAGAGTGTCCTACAAGACTGTCCCACAAGAGTATCCTACAAGAGTGTCCCACAAGAGAGTCCCACAAGAGTGTCGCGCAGAGTGTCCCACAAGAGTGTCCCACAAGAGTTTCCTACAAGAGTGACCCACAAGAGTGTCCTACAAGAGTGTCCTACAAGAGTGTCCCACAAGAGTGTCCCACAAGAGTGTCCTATAAGAGCGTCCCGCAAGAGTGTCCCACAAGAGTGTCCCACAAGAGTGTCCCACAAGAGTGTCACACAAGAGTGTCCCACAAGAGTGTCCCACAAGAGTGTCCTACAAGAGTGTCCCACAAGAGTGTCCCACAAGAGTGTCCCACAAGAGTGTCCTACAAGACTGTCCCACAAGAGTGTTCTACAAGAGTGTCCCACAAGAGTGTCCCGCAAGAGTGTCCCACAAGAGTGTCCCGCAACAGTGTCGCTCAAGAGTGTCTCCCAAGAGTGTCCCTTCAGAGTGTCCGACAAGAGTATCCCACAAGAGTGTCCTACAAGAGTGTCCCACAAGAGTGTCCCACAAGAGTGTCCTAGAAGAGTGTCCCACAAGAGTTTCCTACAAGACTGTCCCACAAGAGTGTCCTGCAAGTGTCCCACAAGAGTGTCCCACAAGAGTGTCTCACAAGAGTGTCCCACAAGAGTGTCCCACAAGAGTGTCCCACAGAGTGTCCCACAGAGTGTCCCACAAGAGTGTTCACAAGAGTGTCCTATAAGAGTGTCCCACAAGAGTGTCCTACAAGAGTGTCCCACAGGAGTGTCCTACAGGAGTGACCCGCAACAGTGTCGTACAAGAGTGTCACACAAGAGTGTCCCACAAGAGTGTCCCACAAGAGTGTCCTACAAGAGTGTCCTACAAGAGTGTCCCACAAGAGTGTCCCACAAGAGTGTCCCACAAGAGTGTCCCACAAGAGTGTCCTACAAGAGTGTCCCACAAGAGTGTCCCACAAGAGTGTCCCACAAGAGTGTCCTACAAGAGTGACCCACAAGAGTGTCCCACAAGAGTGTCCCACAGAGTGTCCCACAAGAGTGTCCTACAAGAGTGTCCCACAAGAGTGTCCTACAAGACTGTCCCACAACAGTGTCCCACTAGAGTGTCTCACAAGAGTGTCCCTTAAGAGTGTCCAGCTCTCAGCTTCCAACAAGAGTGTCCTACAAGAGTGTCCCGCAAGACTGTCCTACAAGAGTGTCCCACAAGAGTGTCCCGCAACAGTGTCGCTCAAGAGTGTCTCCCAAGAGTGTCCCTTAAGAGTGTCCGACAAGAGTATCCCACAAGAGTGTCCTACAAGAGTGTCCCACAAGAGTGTCCCACAAGAGTTTCCTACAAGAGTGACCCACAAGAGTGTGCTACAAGAGTGTCCTACAGAGTGTCCCGCAAGAGTGTCCTACAAGAGTGTCATTTGGACTTATTAGTTTTTCGCACGTGTTTGCATTCGGGTTCGTGGGTTCCATCTTGTTTTGTTTCCCAGTATTCAATTGATGACAGTATCCAAAAGTAGAAACAGCTTAGCAAGTTATTGAGATCTACTTGACCCAGAGAAAGGCCACTTGAGAATAGGTTTTGTACGGGGCCAGGAACCTTGACCTATTGGATGTGCCATAGTCCTGTTCCACTTCTTGATATGTAACATGTTCTTTGCTATGTCCTCTTTTGATTAAATAGTTAGTTTGTGGTCCCTGCCTGGTTAGTTTGCTTTGAGTTTTGCTTCTCTCCTCCCTCGGATTCTTCAACTTTTCCTATGCTAGAGTGATTTGCCTCACTCCTCTTTTAGCTGCTCCTGTCTTCTCCACCAACCGCCAACACTATCTTTGAAATACTATATTTCGAGCTCAATACCACCCAACAATCTTCAAAAAGTTGGTCCTTCTCCTGATTAGGTCCTCTTCCTTTCCTTGATTATTTTGTCGCGTTGCTAATTTACTTTGTTCTTCTTACTGCCTTCGTCCTCTTGTCGACAACCTGTTTCAAGCCAACATCGAGAAAGCAGTGAAACAAACAATACATAATACAATAGTGAAAAAGCAAGATATACATATATATATATAGCAAGGGAAGGGAAGGAAGCAATCAATTCCTGGTGGTTTTGGCGGACCCCCACAAGAGTTTATACATTTATGGGTTTTTGTTTTTTCGGATTTTTCACATTCTCTCAACATTTTTTGCTAGCTGTTTTCTACTTTGCTCGATTTTGTATGGAAGGAGGAATCTTGACAATCTTGACCTACATTATTTTCTCCAAGTTCTCCAAACAGTGTGGTCACACTAGGGGTTCTTACGGTAATGGTTGAGGCCGGGTGTCTGATGGGAGGTCACATCCGTGTCCAGCTAATTCGCTGCTATTTGCGGCACATTCATTCACCTCGCGATCTTCGATTTGCATTTGAGCAACATTCTAAAGGGTCTGTGCGCAAAAGTTTATGTGAGAGGAACCACTTCATTGAAATCGGCCAAAAACCTGTAAAGTGATATAGTGACCCCCAAAAGCGAGACCTTCACAAAGTACACTTCAAGCCTTTGATTCAAATCTACTTTGCAACTTTGTCAGACGAAAGCTCTGGAAATCCGTTTCTGGGCTTTGTGTTCGCTTTTACATGAAGCGATTCCAAAGCAATACCCCTGGATGATCAAAATTTGGTCTAGATGAGCGGCAACGAGCGGATCCCAGCTCGTATCATTTTCGTATCGTTTTTGCAGTGCCTGTGGAGTCTGCCACAGATGAAGAGCTCCAGAAGAAGAACCGCGTGAAGGGTGAAGAAAACGCAATGTGTCAATGGAAAGCTCTCTTTCTTTCTTTCTGTCTGTCTCTGTCTCTGTCTCTGTCTCTCTGTCTCTCTCTCTCTCTCCATTTATCTCTTTCTCTCTCTCTTCTCTCTCTCTCTCTCCCACTACCTATATCCGTGTGTACTGCGCTTCGGCTATGTTTTCAATAGAAACTCTCAAGGCAAGAAATATGACAAAAGCATCCGAAACAGTGTATGCGATATAGCGACCCAAAAAGCGATACCAACATATGGAGTTCACGCAAGGTAGCCCTCACTGAGTTGGCTCGTACGGGGCTAATAACTGATCCATCAGTTCCCACGATCGGTCATTCACACAGGAAAGGCCCCCCCGATCAAGCGGATCAGCAGGGTCTCTCCACATCATCGTGTCGATCATCATCACGATCATCGGATCATTCCAAGCTGCAGCACCTCGGATATATGCGCCGCTCGGATCTGCAGATCTGTGGATCATTGGCTCAGCGGAGCAATCCTCCCGTAACCGGTTTGCAGTGGATCTCATCGGACCTGCAAATCTCGGCTCTGTCAATCCATCGGCAACTCGGAACATGAAACCGCCGATCTTCTCCGCTTCAGCGGTCATCGTCTCGATCGCCGGATCTTTCGCAGCCTCAGCGCATATCTGGTTCCAAGTAACGCGCAGTTCTGCAGATCATCCGACCGTTGGATTACCTCGTTGGACCAATCAAATATGCAGCGGATCTAGAGTCATCGGATCAGCAGATCATCTGTTGAACAGTTGAACGGCTCATGTAGATCAACCGCCCGTCGGATCGTATCAGTAGATCTTCGGATCGTTGTAGTTATATTTGCACTCTGGATGCTTGGCGGCGCGGAATGACTTCATTTAGTTACTACCCTCGCAACTCTCATGTACTGACTGTTCATGCTCTTTGAAGCTGGATCTGACCTGCAGGGGATCATCGGACCTGCAACAGGCGGAGCGTTGGATTAGCGGCTCGGATTTGTGGATGTCGATCGTCGGATTACTAAGAAGGCCCAGGCCGCCCCACCCGACAACAGAAGTTGTTCTCATGCATCCTGTTGAAATTGGTTCTCACGCGTCCGTCGCGCGACGCATGGGGCATCGTTAGTTTGCCACGCTGTGCATGGAACCCACAAGCCCAGAGTTCCACCACAGCACTTCGAACGTTTCAATGAATGCCGGATATTTCGCAATGAGGACGACTCCTAAATGTAGAATCTAGTTCAAAGAGACACCCGAGAACTCAAGCAAAGCCCGTCCTAGATCCTTAATCCTGCTGTTTGTTTTGTTTTTGGGCTTTGTTTACCTGACTTGTTCTTCCTGCCTTGTTCCTTCTCGCTTTCCTACCTTTCGTGTCTCCCCCTTCTCAAGCCCACAAAATGTGCGCCCATAGGTTTTGAACGTCGCTCATTTCGCGGGCTTCCGCGGGTGTATTTTTCGGTTGCGCGCAACCAGCGCAACTGGCGCAACCAGCGCAGCCAGCGGAACCAACGTAACCAGGGTAGCCAGCGTACCCGGCATAGTCAGCATAGCCAGCGTAACCAGCGGAACCACAGCCCTGGTAAGCGCTAGCCTACCAGCGTGCCAGCGAACGATCGTGCGCGGACACACATTGCCATGTCGCTCCTTTGGCAGCGCATTTGAAATGTGCAAGTACTGACAAAGAACCCAAGGTCAACATCCAGCAGCGCAATGTAAGTAATATAATGTTAAGACAGCCAAACAATGACCTGCCAGGGGCTCACGTTCTGAAGCCGAGAAAGAAGCAGACACACACACACACACGCTTGAGATGAGTGCTCCGTGGAGCTGAGATTCAGAGGTTCGTGGTGAACATTAATCCTTTATGTTACTGCTGTAGCCGAACTCACTAGCACTTTACTGCGCAAACAACGAATGAGACAGCGTTGAGCAACACTTAGAATCATCAATGCAAAAGGTATAAAAATTGCAGGTACGTCCGGAAGGCGTCCCTTAGCCTTCTGGATATCACGACCACTCTATCACTGTATTCGTTGTGCAGTGAGTGATAGTGGTCCACTGCCCCCTGCTAAAGGTGTGCCGAGCAGTGAAAAATTTGACACACAGACACACACACACACACACCAGTGGACCATTCCAGCTTCCGACGAGGTATTTGGAGGATGTTTTTGGAAAGCAGCTTGACCGACTCGTGTCCAGCTTCCGGAAGGTCCCAGTGAGAGCTTCAAACTGTTGGAGTTAACCCCATCAGTCTTATCGAATGCTTTGAACACATGTTTTCAACTGTAACAACTGTCAACCAAGAAAACAAAGTAGATGGCTTTCAACTGATGCATTTGTGTCAGGTCCAGATGTTTGCGCCTGTTCGTGATGCGCCTCCGCCTCAGTGAAGTCGATTTGACTGCCTCATTGCACTGTAGGCAGTGTAGGCCGCGTTTGACATCAAAGTTGCGCACGTTTTTCCGAAACAAGCCAAAATGAACAGAACAAGGAAACAAAAAGGACAGATAAAGAAAAGCAACCTTTAAAGGTCTAAATAGAAAAATAAAGAAAAACAACGGGAGAAAACACATCCATATAAAGACGCTAACCATTTACGAGAGCTCCATCGCGACTACCCCAAATGCTGTGTACCAGGCCTTGGCGTCCCCAGCTGCGACGCCTTCAGGGGGCTCGGTTCGCCAGCCACTGAGTTGCGTCCAAGGCTGAAAGAACATGCCTATTGAGTAGTCAAGGGTTCTTAAGAACCTGGAACGTATTACAGTAGAAACCTTCTAGTAGCATGGTCATCATCTAGTAATTACGAGCAGCGTTGTCCCAGACCGTGCTTTCTTGTTCAATCTACAGACTCCTGCAGGTGATTTAAAGGACTCTCAGCGAGGTTCCACATCCTTATAACATATATATATAGCCTCATATAGCCCTTTATATCATTTTATTTTGTCCCGAGTGTTGCTAATTTTGTTGGTTGTCAGCTGAATCTCAGTTTCTTGCCGTATTTGTATCCTTTTCGTCCTTCTCTATAATTACATCTATTTCATTGCTCATCTTCATACCACAATGCAGCTTAAGTTGTACCAATGTGTTCGTTTACCTCACTTTGGTTCCTCGCCTCAGGTCTGGGCTAAGAAGGTTCTATTGGCCTTTCAAAGTTGACAAATCTTTTTTTCTTTTTCTTTTGTTTTTTTTTTTTTTTCAACTTTTGTGTGGCGATGATTGCATGTCATCCACAGTTTGGTTCACACTCCATGTTTGCTTTGATGTGAGAGCTTCTGTCCAGTGTGTGCTGTATTTGTACAGAAGAGGTGGGAGAAGATTGTTGAGCACCAGATGTAGCAAAAAAAAACGGTGTTTTTACATAGAATTCTGCTTCAAACACCTCAACAATCTAGGTTTGAGCTATAATTTACAAGCACAATTTTCAGACCAGGCCTCCATGGATTGGAGAAGATACCAAACAACCTACTGTAATAACAATCAATGTTTGAGATAAAATGAGGGCAACACAAAGAACGATGAACAAAGACAAAGAGGCCGCCATAGGATTGGGATATTCTATCTCAACCGTTGTTTACTTGTTTTGGTTTTCATAGCCCCATTTCTGGCGATCTAGCCTTCAATCTCTCCATCTGCACAATTTTCTAAAGGTCTATTGCAACAGACGAATTCATTGGGCCTGTATTCAAGCAGTTGGTCGCACTCGTTTCTTGTTCAACTCTTGCACTCCTGATACAACTGGTTTACAATACCATGTGCATTTAATTCTGCCCCTCCCCTGAACATTCTTCCCTGCAAGCTGCTCGCAGTTTCAAAAGGCTTTTCAATTGTGTCAATATGCCTTGCTTAACTTTTTCTATACTGTCAATTGCGCATTGAAATTGAGCACCAAAACGAGAGCTTCTTCAATCTCAACAAGGGTTTTGTTGGTCAAGTTGCTTTGTCTTGTTTTGCAATATTTTTTCTGCCACTAAAGAAGGTCATGAGCCCGAGCAGGTGCAAGTCAATTGAATATTTTCTATCCAGGCAACACATTGTTTCTTGTGGTTTCTTATCTCAATAGGCGTTTCTAGTGCTCCACTTATATATGTTTTGCTTAACTCTTACACCTCCAACTGGTTTTAACATTGAACACAAATGGAAAGCTGCTTCAATCTTCACACATCTATTTCCTTGGACAAATTTTTTTGTTTGGTTTAGCTCTTTCAAAGAAGCTAGCGAGCTAGACCATGTGCAATAAGATTGATTAACTTCTATCCAGGCAACACCTTATTTATACACTTCTCTTGGTTTTCTCGTCATTGTTCCTGTTTCTCTTAGTTTGGACAAGATGCTAGCCAAACTCATACTGCAATGACATTTGTGTTATTTGGACGGCTGTTGGCCTATCATAGAACTCTTCAAATAGCAATTTGCAAGTTGTCTATACAATTTAATCGTTGCTTTTTTTCAAGTCTTTGTGGACCAGCGAGATCTTGCTGAGGAGATAGGACATCACAGATTTTTAAAAAATATTTTCGGAAAATAACAAGAGCCAATGATAAGGGGTGAAATCTATTGGAGCAATAGAAAAGCCTGTTGCGATCAGGGCGAAGTTGCTGAGGGAAGAGTGTTGAAGCTCAACTCTACATACCTGACATCAATCGCTCAAAACGAGCGCGTGGTGATGAAAGAGACTGAAACCTTTCAAGGTTCAAAGCCAAACATCTTTGATAGATATATATGAGCCTTAACCATGATGTCTTCTCGCGCTTCCTCAAGCTCAAGGTGGGGGGGTGCTGTGTGCTCTGCCTGGGGTGCTGG